CTCTAAGTACCTTTACTATATATTAGCTTTATTTTATGGTATTTATTCCCATTTCATAGACAATGAAATTGAGTCATAGAAAAGGTAGATAACTGGCACAAAGCCATGTTACTAATAAGTAGTGAGATCAAGATTTGAAACACAGCAGTTGAGTCCATAACTCAGTTTCCGAAAATCTTGACTTCCTTCCTGTTCCTTTTTGGGAGCTTGGAGATTTCAAGGGTTTTTAAGTTCTCTGTCACGGCGATACAGACGATGGTTGAAAGGCCGTGGGTCACAGACTTGAAAAAGCCTGTTGCAAGAATCAAACAAGGGATGATGAGAGCCTGAACATAGAACAAAAGTATTTAGGAGATAAAAGGCATAGAACTTGGTCTTGATTTGAGGGGGCCTGGAAAACTGGATAGATGTTGGTACCATTAATCAGACTTGTTAGCAAAGAAGTAGGATTCAGTTTGGGACAACTTTAGGTGTGCTGTCCATGGGCTATTTACCCAGAGAAGTGTGCCAAGCAGTGGGATATTCAGGGCAACAGATTAGGCGGTAAAGCTTTAGAATCATTAACCTGGTTAACACTGAAATTCTTTATCCAGATACTACCAACCACTGAGAGCTTATAGTGAGATAAGAGGACTGGGAAACACCAGTTCACTGCTGTTCAGAACAGAGCCCAGCCACTGGCCGCCTGTCCGTCCACTAATTGTGTATTGTTAGTTCATGATAACATAAGGGATTTGCTTTACAGTGTAATCAGCTGCAACCCTAAGCACACGTTTACTTTAGCTGACTTTTTTCTTTTAATCTTAGCAAGACTTTCAATGAAGGAAGCATCGTGTTCATTAACATCCTGATGCAAACTCCTTATGTCCCAAGATCAGCGCTTTGAGTATCACTGATACAGGGAACACTGATATTTAAGCTTTGGGCAGCGGATGAAGTCCCCCAAAAGCCGGAAAAGGAATAGTGTGCATGGTAGGATGAGAAGCAGGAGAAAGCAAAGTCAAGTTCTTCTAACATGTACTTGGTTTAAAGGATCGAATGGTCAGCACAGCCACAGAGAAGTCAAATAACGATGGAGGACTGAAAAATAATGTTTGAATTTAGTCATTATAAGGTCAGCAGTAACATTTTTAGGAGTTTTAACCCCTACTTACCCTTCTACCTTCTGTTTCATTTTCATCCCACCAATCTAGATCCCAAATAATTCTCAAATCTATACTTTGCCAGGTATACCAGCGACCCCTTTGATTGCAAAGTACTCTCAGATCCAGTCTTTGTTTTACCTTAGTTCTTGCTGATCTGAAGTTATTGGTCACCCTCTTTTCTTTCTGCCATACTCTTTCCTCTGTGATACACTCGCCTTGGTTTTCCTCCTCACACCCCATCCACCTTTCTCTGCCCATCCCTTCTATATATACACTGTTTTAATTAAACCCACTTCTTTAATTACGTTATATATGGTGCCAATTCCCAAACCTACACCAAGCCCACATCCTTTCCTGAGCTTCGGAGCAGTCTGAATGCCCACGGGACATGAACGCCACGGACTCTTCCAGTTCAGTATGTCCAAAAGCTGAACCTCCATTCTGTTCTACACTCTCCCCTATACTCCTTTCTTTTTCCTAAATCCGATGCCTTGTGTTATAACCTGCCCAGGTGCCAAGCCACTGGCCCGAGCATCATCCCTGACTTCCTCCTTCTTCCTTACCCAGCTAGTTACTAATGTAGCCTCCTAATGACACTTCAGATCTGTAACTCGCCCCGTCCCCACGGCCTGCATGTAGGCCACCAACATTCCTGACCTGGATTACTGCATTCTCCTCCTGGCTGGGCTCCCTTTCTCATCTTTGCTTGTGTCCGGTACCCTGGCTGCATTGAGTCAGCATCCTCTATCTAAAATGGAAGCGTCCATAACCCTATACATCTGAGTTAGGTAGACTTCCCGTGTGGTCTCCTAGCATTCTACCTTCCCCATGTGACAAGCCTTTCCATACTGTTTTGTAATCTCTCGTTTTTGTCATGAATCAGTGCCTTTCTCTAAATTGTAACCTCCACAAAGGCAGGAACCATATCTCTTTGGTACATCATTCTGCATCAGGCTCCTAGTCCAGTCCCCGAATAGCATGGGCTTTTAGTCAGTGTTTATTAGATAAAGCGAATGTTCTGCTGAGTACTTTCACACCCATTATCTCAGTGGGGGTAAAGTTGAACAATTTGGAGAGGACTTTAACGAAACATGAGATGTCAGTGGATTAGAAGATCAAATTATTTGTCGAGTTGTTTTGCACTGGTAGAAGGAAGGAGAAGTTGGAATCAGGAAAGCTGGTTAGGAGGAGAGTAGATGCATTTAATTCCACCTCGCAGAACTAAGAGGAAGAGATTTTTTTAAACTACTTTGCATCATTTAAATTTCATCTTCCTTCTGAGAAGTTGAGGCCTGAAAATTGTGTGTGTGTTTTAATATTTAAAGGTATTAGATGTCCATCTTTTAGGTTTTTTATCTACCTGGAGAAACTTTAGATAAGATGCTTTAAAAATCTGCCTGTACACTTTGCTCATTTAATTATTACTATTATTATTATTATTATTATTATTATTATTATTATCATTTTGTTCAGGGGTGGTTACAGAAGTGAGTAGCTATAGCTTTTTCATTACCAAAAAACTGAGATGGAATACACTTTTAAAGATTTATTTGGGTTTAAAATGGATCAAGAAATAAACACAAAGAAATAAAGGAATGGGTAACAATGGGAGGAAATCTAGTCTAAGAAAACCTGGGTAAGATAAACTTGGAGGACTGAGTTAACCCTAAGCTATCAGGAAATCAAGGCAAAAGACATAAGGTGATGCACCACATTGCTTGATGCCCCTTAGCTTCTCAAATATGAACTTCCAATAGCTAGAGAGTTCACAATGCAAGATAGACTTTGCAGACAAGTACTTGAGGTGCAGGTCAACTTAGGTGCCAGCTGAGCGGGTTACAAAATAAATGCTCTGTGTTGAAGCTTGGCCTGTGTTCGGTCTCAAATGGTGTCTGTCCAGGTTCTGCGTGGAGATGTGGATTGCAAAATATTTAAAGAAAAAGAAGGGCAAGACTTTGTCTTCAAAACACAACTTTGAATCCACCGAACTCAACAATTTATTCATTTGGACACCCTGCTTCTCACAGCGGTTCTCAACCTTCCTAATGCCACGACCCCTTAATACAGTTCCTCATGTTGTGGTGACCCCCAACCATAAAATTATTTTCGTTGCTACTCTATAACTGTAATTTTGCTGCTGTTATGAATTGTAATGTAAGTATCTTTTTGTTTTCCGATGGTCTTAGGTGACCCCTGTGAAACGGTCGTTTGACCCCCAAAGGGGTCGCGACCCACAGGTTGAGAACCGCTGCCTAGAACATGGAGTACACATGCTGGGTTCGGAACAGCAGGAGGAGAGGATACCAGTTATCTGCTTCTGCAGGAAGAGGGATGTAACGTAGATTTCGAGAATGATTAACTTTGACCAGCCAGCACTGTATTCTCACAGTTGACAGGATGAGTTAGCTCAAAAATGCATCGCAAATGGCTACAAAAATGGACCCATTGAGTGGAGTTGTTTGGGACTTCCTGCCCGTAATTAACCAACAGGCTTGTAAGTCGTTGGAGTGGTTTCTGGGTATGAGGATCACATGACCAATTTATCTGAGGAAGTGTGCTGCCTTGTTTGCTGTGGCAGAGGACACGCTTTAAAAGCCCCGTCTAAAAGTGATGGGAATCTGTTTAGGTTTTAAAGTTAAACAGGAAGGATAGAGCTGTTGCATGTGATTTAGAAATGGAATTACTCAGTGCAAGTCCGTTCCTATCTTTCCTGACTCTTAAGACTTAAATGTGGAGGTAATGCTGAGACCACGTGATTTGACTCGTGACTGGCCTGTTGGTAGAGTCAGGGCTGATAGTACAACAAGAAAGGCTACTAGGTCTTCACCGGTTCTCTGGAGTGTTCTGTTTGGTGAAACATAACATCTGCAATGCCCCAGGGAGAATAATCATTCCTAGTATTAGACTGAGAGATTCCAACCCATATCTAGTAGAGAAATCTAGTAGAACTTTGGGGAGAGAGGCAGCACGCTGGCATACCTGGAATTTGGGGAGGTAGAAATTGTCTGATGTGTGAATTGAATAGACGGAGGAGTGAGAGTAAATGGTTTTTTGTTCATCCTGGAAATAGGGTAAGAGTCACCCCACAACTCTACAGCTACTGCCCAGCCCTTCCTCGAAGCTGGGTGGGGGTTGTTCTCTCTTTTGTGGTTTCTATCTGATTATTTCTGTGGTTTCTGTGAGTCACTCAGATCACTCATTTTAATGCGCTTCCTGGTTTGGGATTTTGGGTTCAAAGAGACCAAGATACAGGAAGACCCTGTGATGAACGCTGCACAGGGTATGGGTATCACCCATGCATTTCTCCTTATCTTTCCTGCTCCCTTGTTCTCACATAAATTGAAGGAGAAATAGAGATTTTTAAATTTTCAGAGAAAAACCTGCCTGGGGATTCAGTTTTCCCTGCTCCAGAGCTGATTTTTCTCTTCATTCCCCCCCCCCCCATGAACCAGAAACCTTTTTGTAGGTAAGAGAGCAATCGGTAAGACAAATGTGTGAACGACACAGTATGGCCAGGCTCTGCTCCTGGAGTAAAAGAAACAAATGTGGAAGTTGGGGTGGGAGAGCACGGTCTGATCAGAGGGAAACTCAAAGGAAACTTAGGCAACTGAGTTCCACCTGTTGTCTCCCACCTTCCATTGAATTTTAGTCATTTCTGGTTGCACATCCTTTCCAAGCAAGTCTGGACATCAAATATCTCGTAAGTGATTTAGCAATGCAAGTAAAAGATAGTGGAGAATCAGATCAGAACTCAAGGGTTCTACTCTTCAACCTGACCCGTGAATTGAAATGAGGTTAGCTGTGGCACTGTGGTGCTGGAACCAAGAGATGAAAGTCCTCCCTGTATTTTTACAGAGTACAGTACAATCCACAGCCCGTCAACACCCATTAAAGATTCGGACTCGGATCGATTACGTCGAGGTTCGGATGGGAAGTCACGTGGTCGGGGCCGAAGAAACAATAACCCTTCACCTCCCCCGGATTCTGATCTTGAGGTATGTTACTGCCAACACCCAAGGAAACCCCAAGGCATCTTAGCAGCTAAAGGGTGGTTCTGTTTACTTGCAGCATAATTGGCAGTGGGCAAGGTGTCCAAATGCCTTTATTATAATATTTACTGCTTTCTTTGTCCAGATTAACTATAAGTAAAGCAGTATTTTCTCTCGTCTATATTAATTATAGGTAAAGCAATTATGTTTGTTTTCTGTTCCATATAATTGTATGGTAAAGCATCCATGTATTTCTCTCTGAGGAAATGTGGTAAATTATATAAGTTTGCTGGAACAAAATGCTCTTGAACTGCTCTATCATTGCCATTTCAATTAAGTGATTGTCATAATAAAAATGCTTAATAAAATCCACTCTGAAATTAAAGACACAGTTGTGTATGTATGTTAAGAAGGGAAAACCTGGAATATTCTAAACTGAAATGGTCATCACCTTATGAGACATGTTTTGGTGGAGTTCAAAAGCAGGAGGGATTAAAGAAAACCTGAAAGGGTGGTAGATTTCATAGCCTTGAATCCACTGCAATTAAGTTTCTGAGGGTTTTTTGCCAAAGTGAAGTCTGATGGTGGAAAACATGATTATTTTGGCTGAAAAGAGGAAAATTTTCAGCAGAACCTATGTGTATGAATGTGTGCGGTCTGAGTGGGAATTGGAAGAAGAAGAACAGGCTTTTGAGGCCTTTTGTGGTATCTCAAAGACTTTTTAAAAATGAGTTCTTCAGATCCTATTCCAAATACTCCAAAGTGTGTCAAGAGCAGGTGTGCCTGCTTAAATTGTTAATTATCTGAAATCTAAAGAAAATGGTCAGGAACAATATATAACCCATCCATTTGATAGCAGCCCAACACGTAACATAAGGTGAATGGATGATGTAAAGTTTAAGTTTTTGTGTGCAGTTTTTTAATACTTGGCTCAAAGAATAAAATATAAGAATAGCTGTTTTAAGACTTAATGAACAGACAGCAGAGATTAGGAGAAGATAAAACTGAATGATTTTCGATTGATTGGGCCTCTGTCTCAGAAGTTATAAAAAGACTAGTATAGCTCATTTTTCATTTCTCCAGAACTGAGATTGATAATATACTCCAGAAAGTACAACAGACATATATTATTATTTCTTTCCTATATTTATATTGATGCTAATGTATTATCCTCTTGTAGCTCGTCTGAGGTTATGTTAGAGAAAAGCCAGAAGATACTCTTTGTAACAGCTGTATTTTTTAAAAAGATAGTAAATTCAGGTTTTTCATTTGTCCCCCATTTCAAGAGCACCTTTTCATGTTGATGTGCACTGAATAACAGGCTTCTCAACCAAGGGAAAGACACACTGACTTGGTTCTTTCTTTGCAGAGAGTGTTCATCTGGGATTTGGATGAGACAATCATTGTTTTCCATTCCTTGCTTACTGGGTCCTACGCCAACAGATATGGGAGGGTGAGTACCAGGATGCTTTTTTTTTCTTCTTCACAGTAAATAAGCCCAGAATTGAATTTTTAGTTCAAATGGGCATGTGGTTTAACTTTAAATAATAAATTTAAAATATAAAAGGAAAATAACTTGATTTTTTGATACAGTCAAATATATATGTAAGGCAAAAACTCGTAAATGAGCAAAAGGAGGTTTTGGGGGTTTTTTTAGGTCCTTCAAAATGAGATAAGCTTTTTGCAATTAAATTCATTCTTATTTCAGACCCCAATGAATAAAAGCAATTGAATGCTATTCTAGGATGAAATATTAAAATGTATTGATGACATAGATTTTTTGGATTGTATTTTTTTAATTTGCCATGTCCTTTTTATTCACAATATGTTCAATGGAACATATATGCCACGTGCTGTTGTCTTCAATGATTAGCAATGTTAGCATTTTATTTCAAAGCACCTGTTATGAATGCCTTTATAAGTGCCTTTGCTACAAGGTGAAATTTTTGTGAACGTTATGTAAAATTGGGCCTCAGGATGACAATAGGACCAATATATTTATGTTGGAGTTGTTACAATACTTATCTTGGTGTGGTAAGAAGAAAATAATATTGTAGATCATCTTTCATGAGTAGACCCTCAGTTTCAATGTTGTGTATTTGAGTTTCCCCCAAACATTGGAGATTTTTTTTGCTGTATCACTTGATGGATTCTTAAACCTTTCCCACACAGAAATTATGTTATTTAAAGTGGCTCTAGGTAATTTCTGAAATGATTCTGTGAATATGATATTTCTCTCTCTCTTTTTTTAATCTTTAAAGAAATAATATTACAAGTCTTAGATTCTTGAAGCTATTCGTTTAGAGCCTTAGGAACTGAATTCTTATGTCTGGTGGTTCCAGGGGTTTATCACAATTTAGTGTTAAGTTGATAGCCATAAAATGTACATGCTGTCATTACAGATTTTATCCTGGTGTTCGTTGTTTCAATCAATATTTCAATAAATACAATTGAGTACCTGCTATATAGGTGTAGTCTAGAGGTGAAAGCAGGGGAATTATCAATTGAACTTCACAGTGCAACTTTCCTTCTCACAAGCCTAAAGATATGCCTAATCGAAAAAAAAAAAAAGCTGGAAAAATGCACATTTGTAAGAGTAAGAATATTCCACCATTTTGAATTTCTGTTCAGAAATACAGTATCAGAAAGACACCATGTGTCCCATCTTATTGTTAAGCACGTTTTCTGTGAGAAGAAGACAATTAACAGAAATTCAAATTACAAAAATAAAGTCATAGAATCAGTCTGTACTGTGCAGCTAGCACAATAAGGATTCCATATAAGCTGTGTTGTTTTTGTATTTTTTATATCGATACTAATTCTTTTATCATTAACAATAGTGATAGTCTTATTTTTTACAAAAACTACTTAAAAACTAAAGATTAATAACTGAAATATCAACATATAGCTAGTAGGAAGATTCTTGAAGCTCTTCTTAACTGAACCATTATAATGTCCCTATAACTAACTTCTAAGGAAGGAAAGCTGGCTTCTAAGGAAGAAGACACAAAAATGTTAGAAAAAGCATTCACTTAGAAAACCAGCGTTTGAAAACTGCCCAGAAATTCTCAAGTCTTTAAAAGCTTCCTTACTAAGAGCCAAATTGATTCAAAGAGCATTGTCTTGATCAGTTCTTTGTAGCCATTGAAAGGGGCCAGCTTAGAGTGAAACGGAGAACATCCCATGACCTCCCAACCTCCCATCAATCTTTGACCATAAATTATCGGTTTACACGTGGAATTCACACCTAACCTAGAAACTGCTTACTCCCTACATTTTTCATTCAGAACAAAACATTCTTTTTTTTTTAGAACATGCTAAACAAAACATTGCAAATACAATGAGTTTTATTATTTTTTAAATGTCAGCAATTAGTATTTTGAGGCTTGTTTGTTTAGTTTTCTCATACTTGGGCATGTGATAAAACATTTCATCTCATATAATTCTCAAAAACCACAATTATGTATTCTTTAAAGCATGGGTAATTTGAGATATTTAAATGTAAGCTTAACCATCATTTATAAACTCAAGGAAATACAGAAAGCCTAGTTAGGAGGGTCTTTTCTCAGCAAGACTTTGAGCCTGAGGCCGGAAAGATCTGAAGAGGCCTGTGGACCATGTGACCATCAAGAGAAAGAGTGTCTTAAGCAGAGGAAACAGCAAGTGCAGAGGCACGAAGGGGCTTGATGTTGGAGGGACAAGGAGGCCGGTGTGGCCCAGCTTAGTGATAGAGATGCCCAGTCAAGAGAGATGAAGACAAAGGGCTCCCCAGCCATAGTCCAGAGTTGATCTCATTCTGTGTGTCATAGGAAGTCGTTCAAGGACTTCAAAGGAGGACGTGACAAGATCTACTTTAGGTTTTCAGATTACTTGGCTGTGTGTGGAGAATTGATGGTGGGGGGAGAGGAGTGGGAGAATGGGGTGGGGGGTAGCAGTGACGTGATGCACTAGCAGTAGAAATAGAAAGGACTGGTTGGATTCTAGATTCTGTTGCAGGTAGAGAAATTGGATTTGGAGCTGATTTGGATTGGGTTGGTGGGCAGTAAGTAGCAGGGAGGGATGAGAAGACCATTCCCAGGTCCTGAGCAACTAGGAGAAGTCATATGAGAAGAATTGCCGCAGGGAAGCACTAATTTGGGGGAAAATGGGAAGTTTGGTGTTTGACGAGTCAGAGGTGCCTGTGAGACATCCAGTTGAACCAGCAGAGGAGGCAGTTAGAAGGTGAGCCTGGGACACGGGGCAGTCGTGAGGGCTGCAGATGTCAGAGTTGGAGGTGACAGTGCCCAGCTCAGGATCACAAGCTCCTCAGACACTCTGAGCCCGATTTCCCCCTCTCCAGTTATTGAGCACCTTCTCTGTGCTGGGTGCTCAAGGTCAGCCTGTTGTCTCGTCCGGATAGGTTTTGAAGACATAATTGCTAAGGATGTTGAGTCATAGCCGAAGCATGCAAGAAAACTTGCTTAATGTTCTCTTCTTTGGAGAACTTTAGATAGAGTCAGGCAGAATTAGCTGTCAAATCTAATGATTGTGCCTCATAAAAAATCCATGGTTCAACAAGTACCCTTCCTGACAATAATAATAACCAAGCTGATCAGAGCACCCTGCACCCCCTTCTTTCGTTCCCCCGAGGCCGAGGAGAGATGTCTTTAAGCAGCTCAGGGGCAAGCCTTTGTTGGAGTGCCGATTTCATGGTGTTCCCCAGCGTTGTCCAGGGGAGCGTGGATGGCTGGGCCGTACTCTACAGGCACGGAAAGAAATGAATGCCCGACAATGTGATAGCTGTTCTGTCTCTATGGGAACCAGATACTTGAGTAGCAGCTTAGTCACAGCAGCTTAGGCAACTCAATGAGTAAGCCATTCAGTAAGGGGATACAGGATCTGGTTGATATAATGCAAAATTAGGGCATGTTACAGCAATATGTACCCAAAAAAAGTTTGAGAATGTCCCACCTTCCGTGTAATCCTAGCTCTGGGAAGCAGGCATGCTGGGTGTTAGAAGGAAGTGTTGTTTTATAACAAAGGTGATGGGAACTGAAAGAGAGTGAGTGGTAGGTACTGTGCAGGCTCGGCTAGGGAAGAGGAAAGAAACAGCACATCAGCAGGAAAGTAAAGTCCATGGGTGGTGGTACTGTAAATGAGGTGGTTGTTAACAAATCTGTCCCCGCTTTCTTTATTTAATGCATTTTTAGACGTTGCTTTTAAACTAAATCTGAATTCCTCAATTTCACTGAAGAAAACGAGTCTTGATTTTGTTTCACTGAATGCTCTTAAAATGGACAACGTAATCCAGTTGTTCTGTCAAAGCACACACCCCAAACTTCTGTTCCAAATAAGTGTCACACTGATGCCCAAGCATGACACCCCTCCTATGGGAGGACTCCCCGAGATAGCTTTACTATACCCAATGGCTTTACCGTTCCAGTACTTTCCTTTTTCTGTTTCAGATGGATTTGGGCTAAAATAGGTCTTAAAAGTACACCCCTCATTTTATACAGAAACCTACACATGAGCACTTAGGACAACACAAAGCTTAGCATTTTTTGTTGTAGGCCCTGCTTACCAAGAATTTCCTATGTGCCCCATAGTCATTTAATTCAACATTAGTGTTCCAAAACTGCTATTACTAAGCCCATTTTATAGATGGGGAAACTGAGGCTTGGAAGAGGTTAGAGACCAAATGTGAAGAACACTGAGCACCACAACTGGCATAAACTAAATATTAGTTATGTTTTAATGTAGCTGAACCTTGACAGTCAAAAATGTGAATCTGGCCTAGTGGCAATATGTGGTAGTGTCTTCAAATTTATGAACTGCCAATATGTGACACACCTTATAGTGTCATAGAAAGGGCGTCAGATGTGAATTCACAAAGCTCTAAACTCAAATCTGAGCTCTGACTTTTCAGTTTTGGTTTTTTTTTAACTTTGGGCAAATTATTCATTCCTACTGAGCCTCAGTTTCCTCATCCATAAAGCTGGCCACTTAATTTGCAGAATGTCTTAAGAATTAAGCTGGTTCCCATTATATCTCAGTAAAGCTGGGGGAAAAGATAGATTTCAGCTGTGCCACGAATTTGCACGGCCCAGCACTGTGCCTTAGTAATAGCAATAACTCAATAATAACAGCAGCATATATGTCGCCAGCTGCTCTCGTATCTGCTGTCTGAGCATTTGTTTTATAATGCACCAGGTGTCTGCGAGGGTCTAAATTGTCACAGTGACTTTAGATCTGCGAAACCTCCCTAGTTAGTATAACCCTGTCGTTATTCAGTTCATTGATGACAGAAAAATTCGAAAGCACTTTATCAAGCCCATTTCATCAGAACACCCCTGTTCTTACCCTGTTTTAGGGGGTCAACACTGAATTCCAGAATCATTTGAGGGGTGACCCTTTTCCACAGTGGCTGGTGAAGATGCTAAACTCTTAGCATGGCACCGAAGCAGCTAGACACGC